ATCTATGTGCTTTGCTCACGTGACGACGAACTTGTGCCCCGCTTTTGCTTGTGTTTACTCCAACTGATAGGCGAGCTACTGGCTTTTTGGCATGATATTTTCTCGAGGGCAAAATTAACACCTTCACCGAAGAAGCCGGGATCCGTCGCCGCAGGTCGCAGCTATCGTTGCGAGATGTTGGAAGTGCCTGACTGCCCGTTTAAAATGATAGAATTTATTTTCTCAAACTTCCTACCTGGATGTTAGCATCTTCCGGATTAAACGTCCTTTGTGTGCTAGAGTCCTTGGGTATTGCCCAGTCCATCCCCATAGGGTACACAGCCGACCTCCTATTCACTGTTTCGCGTTACGCATACTGATGTCCGATTGCACAGTTGCGATCCGACGCACATGCATTCTCTGGGCTGTCTTTTTTCTGTTCCCTGGTACGATCCTGTTTGCACACAAACAGTACCGAGATTGTTTTTGAAGGGCCCTGCACTCTACTGAGCACCGTGTTTAGCTCCTCTGTTCATGACACCGATTCGCGCCCTCATGGTTATACAAACGCGCTAATGCGTCCGACCAGTTTATGTTACTGGCGTTTCGCTTTCCCACTGACGCGTGTAAATCACGTAGTTATCTCTGTGGTTTAGGTTCGCCTACTGACTGACTCACCACGCCTGTCTCGTCCTGCAGAGCTGTTGCCTCTGCATGTCTGTTCTGCTTTTACTGCTCATAAGTTTTTTTCTCTGCATGCCGACGCCTCGCGCTTCGTTTATCCGTTCCAGGCCACTCAGACTCATTCATCATCATTCGTTCCTCCTTCCCCACCTTCGACCCTTTTATGGATTCTTAATTTGGCCAGTGTTTAGTCACTACCATGGTCGCAGACAGCAGGAACGCGGATGATGATAGTGACGACGACGACGACGATGATGATGATGATGATGATGATGGTGGTGGTGGTGGTGGTGGTGGTGATGATGATGATGATGATGATGATGATGATGATGATGATGATGATGATGATGATGATGATGATGATGATGATGATGATGATGATGATGATGATGATGATGATGATGATGATGATGCTGATGATGATGATGATGATGATGATGATGATGATGATGATGATGATGATGGGCCGGACCAAAGCCCGCGTCAATACGCGTAAATTACATCTCGTCACCCCGTCGGGATTGCCTGCGTTTATTTCCGTTTGTCCGTAATAAGTTTCTATGTTGTTCGAGGGCTTACGACGGACGCTTTGGGGAGTCGTCTAGCCATGTCTGATTTACGGCGCTGGCCAATGGCACCGGAATTTGAGCAGTTTGGAAAGTCAGGGCATACAAGGCAAAACGCCCGATTCCAGCCTTTCCGTCTTCCTCTGGGCCGATGGCGTTTTCAAATCTTGCGGAGGCTGGAACCTGTCTGTGAGAGACAGTACTGACTGTAAAATACGCACGGCTCTAATCGAAAAAAAATATATATATATATTGGACAAATTCCATAATGCCTCTTAGGGGGTAGGCTGTCAAACTCTCCTGTCAGCTGTCGCGTCACCACCACTCGCCGAGATGCTTGCTTAGCCCCCTGCGCTGTCGCGCTATTAAGAGGCTTACGCTGGCGTCTTCACAACTCGAGCAGTGTTGACACTTTTGTCCATCGAGTCTCCCTGTTTGGCTGTCGCATTCCCGATCAGGGATAGGGAGTGTCAGCTCTGTGAGATAGACAAAGCTTTTTATCCTAAATATATCTCTAACAAGTTTCATGGTGTCTGCGGCTGTCCAATGGATGGAGAAAAGTACTTGTTGTTTTTGGTCAATGCGCTCTCCGCAATTTGATGCGCACTTTCCACTATGGTTGACGATAGTTTAACTGAAAAGAGCCGCCACCCGAATATTTAAAGTGCACTTTTCGGCGCAACTCTACTTCCTGCATCTGCCGCCTAGTGCACTGTGGTTATTCGGCGCAGGAACGATTACGCACCGATGACGCGGTCTGTGGAGATCCACCGATTGGAGCCTGACCCTATTTGATGATGCGTTCGCGCGGGGATCCGAAACATCAGGCAAACAAAGTTCTCATTCTGGTGGGGCTCAGAGCTAAACACAAGCTGTCACATCACAGCACCACCGAGGCAACACACTTTCCTTCATTTGCAGCAGACGCAATGTGTGTAAGAGAATACGGTGGATTCCGGCCAATCAGTGCGCAGGGGACTAGAACATTCTGAACCAATTAAAGGGGTTGACTCAGTTATCCGGCGTTACAATGTTAAGGTTTTCCTTAACATCCGATTGCTCGCCTTTCTGTTTCTATTTTTTACCATGTTCCCCTGCGTCTTTCGGGCGGTGGCCATTCCCTCGCTGCACGCATCTTTTCACCTTAAATTCGCGGTGACGGGTGCTTCACTGTCGGACGCTTATTTCACTCAGCAGGGTGTTGGCTTCAGCTAATGTCACATCATCTCACAGCATTCTGGTTGTGTGCGAGTGAGTAACGTGTATCGGTCACCACGCCCGTCCCAGTCAGAAAACACTGAATGAATAATGGGCGCGAAAGTTACCGCTCCCGCTTACTCTCCTCAGAGGCCGCTGTCGTCGGCGTCCTACCAACCTCTGTTCTAGCCACCATAGGCTGTCAGACTCTCCCGGCAGATGTTGCGCCACTACCACTCGCCGACATGTTCGCTTAGCCTTTTGCGCCGTCACGCCGGCAGCAAACTTGCACTGGTCGCCATAATGAACCTCCGACCAGCAGATTATGGTTACTCCGCATTTTTGACGTGTAAGAATCAGCCGCATGTCTTGTGTTCTTTGTCATTTGTCATTTGTTCCGAGTGCTCCGCTAACTAATTTTACCCATGACCGAACTAACTTGATTCTACTGTACCTCTCATCATCAATCTGCCATCGTCCGTGTGGCTGATTACTTCTCATCACTGCGGATACGACGTTAACTCATTACAGAATGTCGTAACTTCTGTTCAGTGACTGCCTGAGGTGGTAGTGACACCTGATCAATGGGTGTCCGTCCCAGTCAAACTTCCTTCGTTCGTGCTACCCCAGGAATGAGTAGATCCCACTCGTCCAAAGCTGCAACTGAACTCCTAGTTGTGCAGAATTGCCTTAGATATCCGTCTGACTTTGTTTTCGAAAACATAGTTTACTGGCGCCAGATGTACTTTTAAGGGATCAAATTGTCTTTCCAGAATTTTCTGAGAACTAATTTTGTGTCCAATCGACTTGGCTCGGGGGCAAACGAAGGCCATGTATGGTGTGGAAAAGAGCCTGCGAATTTTAAATTATGTCTCTCGGCGCAGACGATTCGGGCGGAAATTTTCAGGTATCTCCATTAAGGGCCTCGCTGTATGCAGCGCCATCTCCGCGTTTGTGACTTCACTTGGGAGCTCTACGTAATTTTGGAGGATAAGCTTGTAAGCAATGAAGGGGAAGGAGTGTCAAGTATACCCTTTTTATGTAGTATCTGCTCGCTTCCACACGAATCGCTTTCAACTGGCCCCAGCCCTGTGCGCTCCGAAGATTTGCTTGCATCATCTTGATCTCGTCATGAGCTCCAAAGATCTCCTGGTCTGATATCTTGTCTTCCTGATCCGAGGTGAGCAGCGGACAACACTTCCTGATGCGGAGGACGGACTACTTGGGAACTGGATTGCCTCGTGCTAGTAACTTACGTCGTCTGCTCGAGTGTTGAGCAGCTCAACACTATCTCTCTCTCTGTGTCTCTTCTCCCTCCCCTACCTTTCTCTCTCCCTCTAGTGATATGAATAGCGAGTTAGGATAACACTATTAGTCTTCTGTCCGATTAACTTTCTGCAGCCCGAAGAACCCTTCGCTTCTCATCCAATGAAATTTGCAGGTTCCCTAGGGCATGCTCCACAAACAACCAGATCCCCTCCTGATCGCCATGTCTGTTCGGAACACTTTGGTCACCCTCTCGCTCACTGAGACAACTTCCTTGGCGTGCTGCACTGTTGAAAGTCTACCGGCTTGTCTGAAACTGTGGCTTCGCTGGGTGCAGCTTCATCTCGGCGTTTGCGACTTCTCTTGGGAGTTTTGCGTAATCTTGGAGGATAAGTTTGTAGGCAATGTTGGTGGAGGAGAGTCAAGTATACCCCTCTTTCGTGTAAAATCTGTCCACTTCCACATTAATCGTTTACAGTTGGACCCACCCACGTGCGCACCGCTCCAAAGACGCTTTGTGAGACATTCTTGGATCCTGTTGATTTCGTCATGAACTCCAACGATCTCCTGGCCTGAGATCAAATTATTTCGCTAGTAGTTCTTCTGTCTTCCTGGTCCGAGGTGACTAGCCGAGAACACGCCTTCAAAGTTGTTCCTCCTATTCACACGCGAGCATTTATCCGCCCTGATGCGGAAGTCGGACTACTTGGCCGGTGGGGACTGGATTGCCTCATGTCAATAACTAACGTCGTCTGCTCGATTGTTGAACAGCTCAACACTCTGTCTCTCCCTCCCCCTCTATCTCCCTCCCTCTTTCTGTTTCTTCTCCCGCCTATCTCCCTCTGATGATGTGGATAACGAGTTAGGAGAACACTATTAGTCTTCTGTCGGATTAACCTTCTGCAGCCCGGAGAACCCATCACTACTTATCCAATGAAATTTGCAGGTTCCATAGGGCTTGCTCCGCAAACACCCAGATCCCCTCCTGATTGCCATGTGTCTGTTAGGCGCTTGTTTGCTCGGAACATTTTGGTCATCCTCTCGCTCACTGAGACAACTTCCTTGACGTGCTGCACTGTTGAAAGTCCATCGGCTCGTCTGAAACTGTGGTACGACGACTGTCTGCGACTGACCGCCTTGGACTGCACATTGAGGTCTACGTAGAGGCTTGGCGTTTAAAAAAACTTTTGAGAGAGAGAGAGAGAGCGAGCCATAGTTCTTAATCATTAAATTGCCATTCCTGTGACTGTGACTTTTTTCAACTAGTGTGCGTTTCTCGCATCCAACTACTGTGCCACGCCTGGTGTTCGGCGGAGGGGTGAGGCGTCGGTTCCGTTTGGTCGGCCTCTGGTCCCAACCCCATCACCAGCCGCGCAGTGCCAATCATGCCTCTGAAACACGATGTGGGCGGGAGGGGAGAGTGCGTGAGCCCCGCGTCACTCCTCGTTGTAGTGGCCTTTCAGACCGCCTACTGACAGGCCAACGACCAACCAGCAATGTCTCCCTCATAATGTGACCCTATGACAACATTCACCGCAGGAATGTCCGGAGGGGGAGGGGTTGGTCTGGTTCATATGAATCGAAGATCCCACGTGCGTGAGGAGCGTAGAGGCGCCTTAAGTCTGACCGACCACTTTCCCTATCATATTCTCCAGTCTTCTTGGCCTCTTCTTACCATTAGCGTTTGACGGGTCCGGGAAGAGCGAGTGAGATAGGCGCTTTGAAAGTCCCCCACTAGTTGCCTATCTCAAGCGCTAGTTCTCATTATCCCACCGAAACAGTAGCAGTCGTTAACTAGTCCTCTTCACCGTCCCTCCCTAGGATTATGTTCATCGCTGCCTCCAACGCTGTGGTGAGGGCCTGGTCGACGCTGGCAGACTCCAATCGGTCACGTGTGTTGTCCCTTTACAGACGAATTCTCCGGCTGGCTCAAAAATGGTCCTCTGCCGACGGTGACCCTGTGAAAACTGCGCAGGAACGCGATTACATTCGAGAAGAGGCGCGTCGTCTCTTTCGGCGCAATGCTCGGGTCACCGACCCCGCGGAAATTAATGTGAGTTCTGTGACCTCACAGTCACCAATTTTCTCTCTGTCACTTGTATATGGGCGCAACGAATTACTATAACAACAAAGGGCTTGTGTTAACAGTTATTCCAGGAAATTTGGAAAATAGGAAATATGATGAAGACAGAAGGCTCGTCAGAAAAAATCGAGTTGTACTCGTGAATTTTCGAGCTGGTGACACCAACCCGTCGTCAGAAAACAGGAAATATATAAGCCCGAAACAGCACTGTTTCAATCTACCCTCGTTATCTGTCATCCCTTTTCGCTGCTATTATGACTTTGCCGACTTCGGTTTGGTAGTTGGTTGGCTGTTTGTGACCTTTGCTACTCATGCGAAGCTTGTTTGTTTCGTGAAGACAATAGATCGGTGTGCGCCCATTTCTGATTGAACAAATACCCGATCTGCAGCGACAGTGAATGACAGGTGGCGAGGCACTGATGAACTTCAGTTCGATGAAGTGCTTATGACCCATCTGGTAGACCCCAGTGGTGGACCGACTGCGCCAGGTGCCGCTGTGCGCATGTTTGTGTTTCTGTTCTCAGCTTGTGGTCAGCGTTCTGATTGGGTGAATGAAGGTAAAATAAACCGAAAACGGTTCTGTATCAATTTACCCGCATTCTCTGTCACCCCGCCTCCGGCTGCATTCCTAATCTATACTCTGTAAAAAATGACCACCTAAGTAGCATGGAATTTTCCCATTGATTTTCCATGCCCTCAAAAATTCGATTTTTTTTCATGAAAAAAAATGCATAAAAATATTCATTCTTTCGCTCATTCCGTAGAAAATTACACCTTCTGTCAATTTTATACTCGAAGGAATGGTATAATTAAGTATTCAAATACTCTTCCAGTTCGCGAATAATTTTGAACCCGACCTACCGTTGCACTTGCATTCAGGGTTTACAAACTACAAGCGGTATATTTTCCGCGTACGGAAAACCAGACATTTCTTTACGGTATTAAGAGGAAACTGTATTGGGTTCATAAAATTTAGCAGTGGATTTGAGCCATATTGCTAACTTTACCCGTTACATTGGTAAATGCAGAGAAATGACGTTTTATGGTACACGATGATTAGTTTTACAACCCTACTCACTTAATCTTTTCGAAACGAAAATGCATTTCGGAATTTCGGTTGACATTTCTGGAGTTAGCCCTCCTACTATAGTTCGGCAAGGCCGCAGTAAGAAAAACCAGGTGATCGTAGGATATTGCGTCCTCGCCTGTTTTTTTTTTATATTTGACGCTTCCGCGTTCTCTTGGCTACATGGGACGTTATATTCCTAATCGAAAACCGGCAGGATGACGAGTCCGTGGCTCAGCAGTTAGAGGCGTTCGACTTCTAACTAACAGGTCGCGAGTTCGAGCCTCGGGTGTGTCACACTTCGGGGTTGGGTATTATTGGCTTAACACGGCTAATAAACCAAAAATGACCATTCCAGTCTCCCTTATCTTTGTCGGTAATATCATTCTGCCTATATATCATGCGCCGCTGTGCGGCTGCTGGTTAGGCTCGAGAGAGAGAGTCCATAAGGCACAACGGAACGAGTGAGTTGCGTATGAACGATCTGTGAGCGCCCCCCTACCACTGTTATGTACTTCGTTTATTAAAACAAGCTTGGGGAACTGCAAAATATGCCGAACTTTTACTTTCATTGTCAGATATCTTGTTAAACTCATCATTTTTCAGGGATCGGGTTCCGCGCCCTCATTTCTACCGTTTAGCCATGTCTGGTCCTGATGCTGCCCAAAAAAAACCAATAATTTGTTAAACGGCGCTAAAGAACGCGCTGAATAGTAGTATGGTATCACCTTACCCTGAAGTATACTACTAGCTGCCTGTCGACAGTTAATGGATATTACGCGGTTACCCGGCTGCGGCTGATGGACTTTGGCCCAGCTATTCATACATAAAATTCTCGGTCTGTGCCTGTAGACCTTGAATAAGCTGATCTACTCCAACTTCGTAGATACTTTCTGAGGAAATTAAAAAGCGAAAATTTCTTAATTGCAGTATCTGCCAGAAAACACACGGGGAACGCTGGGAGACCCACTGACGAGCCGAACCCCTCTCAGCTGCGCCATGCAGCGGCAAAACATCGGCGGAACACGCGTGTATGGGCTTTTGGATAGCACCTGTGCTGTTAGTATGGTATCACCTTACCCTAAAGCACCTTATTGGCATTAAGGGGCCTGTCTTCCGAACCAGCTATCTTCCTGTCCTGCATTCCTTTCTGGTCATAGCAGCGACAGTCCGGCCATCGCTGCCGTCAGTGTCCATCGTGGGGTGCACGACGGGGTGAAGACAGGGATGGTGGCTTGCGCGTGAATTAGTTTGTATTGATAATAGACTTGCGCAGCATCTACCGCACTCTCTCCTCCCCCCAACCTGCATTCGGTGTCATAACCGGAGGCTGGAGGGGAAGCAGGTGCCTGACACAGCAAAACTCGCATCCCACTTGTCACGATCTGAGCCTGCCACTAGACCTGAGCCACACCCCAAGTTTGGAGTTTGCAACGGGTGCTCATCCCGGACTCCCATCTGGCCCTATGTGTTGCACCGCTGTGTCTATCGCATGGCCCGTCTTAGGGACGCATACACACGTTGCTAGGCCGCATTTGAACTCCATATCACACATCACACCCGACAAGCATGTGATCCGCATCGCCGTTGACTCAACATTGCATTTCAGAACGCATGCACATCTCGCACAACCGGGAAGCATCTTTCTCGATGTCTCCTGGGACATCAGTTGAAGATCAGGCTGTGTGCGGTCTGTCTAGCTCTGCTCATTAGCCGTTGTCTTACCGTTGTTGAACATTCGTATATATGCATATGGGCAGAATGACATTATTGTCAAAGACAAGGAAGACTGGAATGGCCATTTCTGGCCTATTGGTCGTCAGCCAGTCATACCCAATCCCGAGATGTGCAACACCTGCTCCTAGGTTCTGCGACCTGTTGGCTTGAAGCCAAACGTCTCTAACCACTGAGCCACGGGCCCGTTGTCCTGCCGGTTACGACAGGGAATAGGCAATGGTAGAGGGGCAGTCAACCCCATCACCTGCGGATTGACAGACTCGGACAGTCGACTAGTGCATGGAAGACGGGAGAGAGAGAGAGAGATGCGCTGACGCTGGGACATCCATCCCCACGGCAAGTCAGTGCATTCCTATCTATAATGAATCTGACTCGCTAAAAGTCGTGACTTTCAAGGGGGCTGTCTGATGGGATGGCTCTGTATTGTGTGTATTTGGGGTGGCTGGCTCGAGATCTGAGAGTCGGGCTCCATGAGGTTCCGTGAATGATTCCGTTAGATCCGTTGAATCCGAGCTATCCCTTCTTTCTGTGAAGACCAGGCCCGCTGTCCTGAGACCAAATTGCGCTTGTGTGTGGCACGCGTAGACGAGCTGTTGAGCCTTGTCATCAACTGCACCCACGCCCGAGATCTGAGAGTCAGGCTCCATGAGATCCCGTGAATGCTTCCGTTATTGCATTGTTTCGAACGCTGCATCCGAGCCGCCCCTCCTTTCTGTGAAAACCCGGTCCGCTGCTCTTGGACTAAATTGTGTGCGTGTGTAGCCTACCTCCGGTAATCTAAACGTCTTCTTGTCTCTATAACATATTGGGCAGGAGAGGTGAGAGCGCGGTGGATGCTTCGCAAGGCCGTCTCACAATAAACTTATCCGCACGCTAGTTACCAGTGCTTCGCCCATCCCTTGTGACACGATGGACGTCGCCGTTCGCTACGGTCGCATATTCGACATCCCCGATTGCTATGTGTTTTCCCGGATCAAGTTGTCCGGACGTTCGCCATTGGATCTGGACCAAACATGCAACGGTCCGTACACCCTTCTGCAAGTTACTGGAGTTTGCTTCGATGAGAACATCCGACTGGCACACCGTGTGCAAAGATCTCCGACGCAGCCCGCCAACCGTAGACTATCAGCCTGAGTGGCAGTCATTTGTGGGCTCCAAGTGACGGTCTCCTCTCCCCCCCCCTCTTCTCTCTTTAACCCACTCGTGACTGCTTTTTCTGCCATGACCCGGTGTCCATTTTGTTTTCAGGCGCATATACTGGAGGCCGAGTCGAGAATTGAGCTGGCTCTTCACTACAAGACTCCCTATCCTCGACTCTCGAACATACCCCAGTCAACACTGGCAGGCGGCACCTCCGCGAGCCGTGCTTTTAGACGCACCAGGCGTCTCATTGATGAGTCTGTACCCGCATACCTCAAGTCCTACACGCAAACCGAGCCGGAGAAGCCCGTTGCCTCGTCGTCTCCTGGAACTAAGAAGACCGATCCCACTAGGAAGTAGATTATGCCTATCAACCGACCGACAGAACGCCACCGCACATACTCCCTCTGTATAGCCTTTTTATACGTAGTTTCCTTTATAAGTTTACTTGCATGAAAAGCTTGCCTTTTTGAGGGAGGGGAGGGTTTTTATGTCAACCGGTGAATCGATGGAAGAGAAGAATTCCAAATTTGTTCATGGTTCTTCCTCCTCGTCCTCCCGCCAACATGCGAATTCAGTTGTACTAGAAGCCAGCTTTATGAGTCCACTTGAATACTCTTTTGTGAAATATACAACCTACTGAGTAGTGCTCACCGTCTTCATCAAACCGCCGCATCTGGCTGCCTAACTGGTACTGGTGGTTTAGCGTTTGCTAAATGACGAGAAGCCAGCTGTATAATTAGGGCTACCGATCCATGGGCATCATGATCAGTGAACTATGCAGGGATAGGCCATTTGGACGCAAGTTTTTAAACTTCTTCATCTATCTGGCCATCGCCTCTGCTCTTGGGACACATCGTCATGGTGTGGTCGAGTGGGAATCTGACTTATTCAGTCCACACGGTAGCCCATGTCGATACGTTGGGGGGCTGAGCCTTTCTCTCTGCCCGTCGTCGAACCGAAAATTCCTGCATCACAGACCCGGGTGTGAGCGCAGATACGCATTAACGTGGACTATAAAGCCGTCTATGCACACCTCCGAGTGGAGGAAGGCGAGTACTTAGATCATCACGTTAGGAAATTGGGAGTCCATGATTAGCCGTCATTTCAACGCTTCCCTGGATGCACTTGGGCATGGCAGTCAAATGCTCAGTGTCGTTGCCTAGTCGCAGGGATATCGATCCCGCAAGAGCCCTTTGTTGGCAACCCGCGAAAGAAGTTCGACAGGCTGTTTTTAGAATTTGAGCTTCCGAACAACTTTCCCGAGAGTTACAGGACGATCGGCCAATCCGGAATACCAACCAGTCGGGGCAACGTTATGGCCCTTTATTCGGAATCGTCCGGTTCATCTGTTGATCTACTAGTGACCTAATTCACTCTTCTGGTCCAAATCTTCCTCAGCCCTGTTTCTGGTACATCCAATTATTTCCACGATGGCAGTGTGGAGAGTTCTGGGGTATCGTTGCCTGTGGGGAACTTCATTCGTCGTGCATAGTGTGAGGGACAGTCGACGCACGCGATTAATTATACTAAATAGGGCTGGTTATATGGATTTTTTGGCCCATGGTGTGCAAGTTGAGGTTATACTTTCGGACAAAGAATAAATATGGGACAGAAGAACGAAGAAGACACGAAAGTCTGGGATGACTACTTCCGAGTTAATAGCTGTCGTTAGCCAGCCATACAAAACCGCAAATTTTGATGACTCTGGATCCGTATCCGTGCTCCGTGTGTTCATTGAGCGTTAGGATTTGAACTCTACCACTAAATTATGGATCTGCTGTTCTGCCGACTGTGAGTTAAGAATCATTAAGTTCGTTGTTCATTAACCATGTTACTGGACAGCTCCATCTAGAGACCTCACAGACAGTCTTGTGTTGAAAAATACTAGGAAGACTTGGCTGGGAAGTTATGGCTTATTGGCTGTTGTCAGCCAGGCATGCTCGAACTTCCTGTTTGGATGGCGTGGAATCTCGGCCAGGGCTGTTTGTCAATTTAGCAGTAAGTTACGTGCACTACCCTCGGACCACACTTCTTTCGGTTGCGATTGTGAGTGTTGGCCGATCTGGTTGCAAGTGCAGGATGTGCCCGTTTCGCGGTGCGTTTAACCATGTGTAGAACCCAGTTAGATGGGGAATAAGTACATTCTCCGTACTGCAGGCGGCCTTGCGCGATTAATTCCAGGGAGTACTTTTTCCCCGTGTCCTAACTCTACCTCCCACCTCCCCCCCCCTGGTCTAGCACAAGTTTCCTCGTAATAACAAGGGTGTAGTGGCCCTACACTGAGCGCCTCTCTCAACGCTGGGCCTATCGCCGGTGCCCGCACGTGCGCACCAGGTCCGGCTGGCACTCTTCTACTCGGCTTCCTAACTGGCCAATCAGATTCAGGACTGAGTCAGACGCGACCTGGCTTAAGACACTTGGCGCACACTTGGGACGCCGTTCTCCCGGCGCCGGAGGCGTTTCCCTTTGGCTGTCGACTTCCTCCAATCCAGTTATTCTGCTCAGAATAAAGGGCTAACTGGTGTCCATCTTCTCATACCATTCAGGACCAGGCCTGAAGCCTAGGCTTTTGGGATAGAGGTACCAATTCTCGTGCCCTACCTAAAACTCTCGTCGGCGGTCTGACAGTGCCGATTAATGACTCGGTCTGAACAACATTAGTACAGGCCGCTAGCGCCTACTCAGAGGACCTACAATTCGTGACCTGTCTGATGTAATGTCAAGAAATGTGGACCTAAATTGCTGTAGCGCACAATACTACCACTCCGCCTCCACTGAGTTAAATATACGACCGAGCTTCAAAACAAGGCATAGTTCGGTTTATAAAGTATTATTTACTGATGGAGACCGAGCTCTTTCACTCTTTTTCTAATTATGCGCATAGAAAACATTGACAGGTGTTCCCTGTAAATAGCCTTAAGGGGCATATAATGATACTTTTTTCAGTGCCCGACGAATGAAATCGTCGTCTTGCTTGCTTATGGACCGTTTTGGCCCACCTTGCTTAGATCTAGGCATTGTTTCATTACTAATAATTCTCCAGAGGGTGACATGTTAAATGTTGAAAATACTAGCTAACGACTCACGCGGCAGCCCTTCGGCTGCCAATTTTCGCATCCGCTCAAAGTTAACTTCCGATAGGTTCTGTTTTGGCATCTTCGCTCCACGGCGTGGCGAAGAAAAGTGGCAGCATGTAGCGCGCAATTTATACATACTTGTTTACGCCTACTAGTTCCCTGTGTAGTAAAACAACCACAGTCGAACAAGCTTATTACTGCGTTTAACGATATAAAACGTTAGACTTTTGCTAAATAGAATCTAGGAAGAGTAAACTACTTCTTGATTCATGCGAATAATATGTTTTTACATACTTGACTCGACCTGATTTTTATGAAGTAATAGTCACAATTTCCGTTTCCAGAGTGGCCTCCTTTGATATTCTTCCTTGTTATACGAAAGTTTTTTTATAATGCAACGCATTCAAATAAGAAGTTTTAATAGGAGATACTTATGAGAATAGGAAATGAAGTGGATATCCGGAGATGTCAAAATTTGTCTAAATTTAGTCCGTTTCCTCTGAACAAAACTGAACTAACATGACTCCTTCTTTAGAAAAGGGCTTTTGGGATTCTAATCAATTCCAAAAACAAAAATATCCACACAAAATATATGCCGTCCCCTCGACTCAAATACCGGTCTCGACATTTCATGAGTTAGATCATCTACTGTATAGGCAAACCTTTAAGGTAGAACACAAGCAGGTTCCGTCCCCGTAACCGGATTCGTCGGTAGTTTGTTTCAACTCGTCAGGAGTAGTTCTGTCACGGTTTAGGCCCTGAAATTCTCCTCCAATGCGCTCTGATTTTCGCCAGTCCCTCTTAAGCGG